ATAAATAATATATATACAGAGCCGGGATCAGGTAAACACAAAGCCCAGATTCGGTTGCCAGGTTTACTTGACCATTATATGTAGCTGAATCGCCAAACATTAATAAAGGATGCACGGCTAAACAGGATATTTTAGTTAAGTAACACACCAGTTCCTGTATCGTTGATTTCATTCATCATTTTCGTGCAAATAATTGTAATAATATTATAAAATAGCGCGGCTCCGAAATCGGGAAATCAAGACTGTTATCGGGAAGTCGAGAGCAGTGCATGATTCGGGAAATTCCTGACAAAATCGGGAAGGTTGGCAAACCTGATCAAGGTAAGGTGCATCTACTAAAGTCTTACATCCCTTACAAGATCCAATATGAATTTTGCAGGAAAGTCGACAATTAGATTTTCATATTGCATGAAGTTCAATCTGCCAGTTTATTCTAAAAAGCAATAAATTTATTAAAAATTCTTCTTAAACAAATTGTTTGAACAGTGAAAGATGGGGAGTTTCAATTTTATCTTTTTTTTTTCGTCGCCGGTTTTGTGCAAGGGTAAAAATACTTCTGTCAAAAGTTCATGTTGACGTCCATTGTTGCGGACTGGGTAAACAGAGTGACTGCTCACCTCACTTATGATTTGAGTATGAGATGGTTTTGTTTGGTTAAGACTTTTATGGCCCTCGCAACTGCTTAGGGTCATATTAGCGCATGCGACGCAAGTTGGAGGTTTTAACATACGAGTTGCTGGTGGGCTTGTAGGTTATGACGGATCAGAAACTTCCCTCACCAACAGCTGACTGACAGGTTAACTTGGGTAAACAGTGAGAGGAACCTAAGCAACATGATCGGTTCATTCATTGAAGGGACTAACAAATAACGACAGGTGAATGGATTATGACAGCTCGTCCACAGCATCAGGAGTCAAAATTATATAATTTTGACAAGGCATCGGGCAATAAGAGATATGGCTGGTTGGTTGATAAAACTTAGTAGCCACTGATGCGTTGGACAGGTTATGTTTTATACAGTGCTATATTTAGAGAAAAAAAATGCAAGGGGGGAATGGAAAGTGGCTGTTAGAAAAGGCGGCCACCATGGTTGTTTGGACTGTAGCGTCTCCATTGATCTTATTTGGAAGTATTCCTCTTTCTTTGATTGATAAAATCTGAAGTATTTTCAGTAGTAGAATTGATAAACTGAAAACCGCACATTATAATTGGTCGTTAAGCACAAGGGGGCTATCTCGAAAAATGCGGTTTTGGGAACATTGAAGGTAAATTTTTGCCCCTTATTCAGTTTCTTTAAAATACAAGGATAGTTTTCTAGATTAATAAATAAATCACACACCAATGAAACCAAACTTCCCCTATAGGTACGGCAATGCCCATTTTTGGTGTTGGTCAAGATATCTGGAAACTTTCGAAATCTGGGCCAGCCCGCTTGTCCATTTAAAAGTGACCAATTGGCCTATAAATTTTAGAAACAGTATAATCTGAAAAGCAACCACTTAGTTTTATTTCTGGAAAAACATCTGGATCTAATCAACATTCCCCAATATCTAAATATCTATGGAGGGAAAAATTCCACATGACCAATCCTGTCACAGGAAGGTTAAAACTAAAATGAGAATAAAAATAAACAAAAATTCAACGAAATGCAGAGGGGGTTAACTAGATTTTCATAAAAAGGATACTGTGAAACAGGGATACTGGAAGGAAGATGACATGACATTGATATAAAAACAAGGTCAAAGCCACACCCTCACCTGACCTCAAATAGTCAAACCATTGCCCTTCTTCACTCTCAACTATCAAGTCAAACAGTAAGACATTTTATTTTAACTTTTGAAGTGGCTATGCCGCATGGCATACGGCCCTAACTTGAAACCTTTCCATAAGAACAAACAGTTATTTTATAAAACCGCTCCCTTCTCGTGGCTGCTATCCATGCCATTTTTTCCTATGTATTTTGAGCCAATAAAAACTATATTTTAGGCTTTTTTTTGGTATGCATGCTTTAGTAGTCATTAGGGGGGTTTCAGGGGTCCACCCCTCGATGAGCGATTATGTAATAAGCCCCCCCCCTCCGAAACGATGTGCCGTAACGTC